AGGGCCCTACATCAGTTGACTAGCACTGCCTGCTGGACACCCACTGGTCATGGTCAGTGGTCTAATGCTTACAAACACAGCTATAACAATGTGTTGTAGGAAAATATTTATTTACTTCATCATAATGGACTTGAAACAGTTGGAGGCTATTGGTGAAGCGCTGGTGTTCTGTTAGTATTGGACCAGTGAATGTTAACACAGTGCTGAATGGTAATGATAAGAGTTGTGATGGAGCTAAGTTATGTACACCGACATTACAGTGGTTTGGGGGAATCACCAGTAACGATACTGATAATTCTGTATTAACTGTCTATTGTGTAACACTTAAAACTCCAAATACCATTGTCAACTATCGATCCTTCGCGGTATGGCAGCTTATCGGCACTACTTTTTATTGCCCCTTATACTATAGTTGTGTTTTCCCCCTGGCACTTCCTCTGTCAAGTCTATACAGAATAACGCCTAGTTCTCATCCACCTTACATAGGGCTTGTGAGAGCTGTGAAAGGCTTGCTCCCAGTGCCAGCCAAGTACTTTCACGTGACGCCAAGAAATCGGGGAGGACACGCCATATGGAGAAAAGGAGACAATTCTGTGTGAGAATGAGGAGACAGTATGACGGGACATCAGAGACAAGATGGTGCCTCGAGTCCCCAGGACAATTGGTGACGAGTTGGAGCCTTAAATGACAACTCACTGCACCACAAGGTGAAGCTCATACACTAGGATCAGAGATGCAGGTTCCCTCTATCGGTGGCAGTGTTGTACCTGGTCCAGCCCATTTACTACTGACAGCAGAGCCAGGTCTAACACATCAGGGAACCTGTATACTCTACAAATTAATGTCAAATTGAACACATATAGCTTTTCCCTTGAGAAAAACCTGAGAACATTTCTTCACAAATTGATTCCCTGATTGATAATTTTCGAAATAGAAAAGAGTGTTCAAAAAGCCATTGCAATCTTTAATGATATCAACATTAGAAGTACTGAGTTTTTGATGTACCTTTCAAACAGAAAACAAGTCTCAACCAAAATTATACGACCTGCAGTTTATCACAAGGCACAAAGCCATAAAAACAGGAATCAATTGGACAACAATGCTGATCTTTGACTTGGGGATAGAGACCTGTTAGCTCTGTAGCAGACGAAGCAGATTTATCAGGGAGCCATGTAAGACTCGATAGTTTTTACCTCGACGACTACTTAGAAAATCCTACGGAACCTGACTGGATTGATCAAGTAGGAGAAAAAAACCAATTACCTTGCATTACCTTGTGAACCAGCATAAGTCTAGGAAATAATCAATGTTATGTAACTGTAGGATAATCTGTTGAAAGTTATTGGCAGGTCTAGCTACGACGGCAGTCCAAGGGCAGGCACCATCACTGATATATTCAATTAAGTTCACATGAAGATTCTATAATCAGATAGATCTAGCAGTGTTCCACCTACAGGGGACTGATAGAAATTGTTTCTGACCATTCTAAAGGGAGATCCATATACATAGGAATACAGAGAGATAAAGGTTGTCCCTGCAGTCTTGATGATTTGTATCTCTAGAAGAGCTCCATATATACTTTGTATAATTAAGAAAAAAATCCACATCTTGAGGATATAGGAAGAGTATAAGACTATTTCATGCCCGAGGGGTTTTCAAATTTGGTAAAACTCGAGGCTTTGCCGAGGGTTTTGCCAAATTTGAAAATCCTGAGGGTGGAATTTCCCTATCCTACACCCTTTGGCATGAAAGAGTATCTTTTTCTCTCATTCCAACCACCAGTATAAGCCCAGAAACCATAAAAATACGTTTGGACTGGCCACCATTTTAAAAATATCAATTTTCCCCCTGAGCTTTTTTGACGAAAACAAATTGGCGAGCCAGATTAAGCATATCCCATATTTGCTAACAGTGTTTGCGCAGAAAAATTAATCACATCTTTCTAACGTGTACGGTAAATATATCGTAAAAGGTTTTAATTTCATCACATTGCCTTTTCCGCATTGTGGCATTGGAGAGTTCCAAATTTGTGACGTTTCGTCATTGTTGTTGAGCCATTGTGACATCAAGTCACGTGAAATTGAGTGTTAGACAGAAATTTCCTACACCCCTTTCCTAACCTGGACAGCTCTATCTTACACACAGGGAAATGAGAGAAAAATGTCTACCTCAGTATATTTCTTGAAAGTCCAAACCCAGAGGCTTGCCAACAGTTTGGTTTTCAAAATTTTAACCAAAATTATTGAAATTTCTTTATCATACTCTCAAAGCTAAGAATAAAAAGGCACCAATAACTCCGATAGAATATACAGTTAGAGACAAGGGTAATGAACATTATTTTCAATAGGCCATTTGAAACTAAGATAATTCAATATGGTATAGACCAGAAACTCCAAGATACTATTTCTCTATTTGAGACAATTACAGAACAGCCAATGTCTCCAAATCTATATAGCTAGAGTCACTCTTTATCAATCATCTTCAAGACTTGTCCTGAAACCAAAATCAAGATAAACAGACATGTTTTCCCATAGCAACACACAAAGTCTGTGATGTTACTTAGCATTCCATACAAAACTTTTTAACAAGAGAAACACTGGAAATGAAATTTTACAATATTTGTTCTTTTCCTCCTCCCTATTAAGTGTGTGGTGAGGGCCGTTTCCTGGCTGCTGGAGAATCAGCCGTGGTCTGGTTTACGTAACCACGTCTGTCTACACCGACACTATATTCTCTGATGTTTAATACCCCAAGCAGATGGTGCAGTTTAATTGTAACATGCATTTCCTCCGACATGATTGGAATGTATTGTTGTTGCTTCTCGATTCATTACTGGTGTTTACTTGCATTCTAGATGGTAATTGGGAGCTCTGTATATTGCTAAAGATAGCTTATGGACCATTTGAGGATCAGGCGGAATAAAAGTTACATAATATCAGTAATATCAGGTCTGTTGGAGATGGACAGTTAAGTAGGAGGTAGTATTCAGTGTTTGGTGAATTCACAGTGACAGTTAATTGCCAGTAGGCTATGATAAGCTGTAGACAACAGGACAAATTGCCACCATTATCAGCCGATATTATACCAGCTCTTTAGTATCAGTGACAGACAAATTGCTATGGGTGGCTAACAGCATTTTTACATACGTATATGATAATTCACCAAACATTATAACCTCATAAACTCACAATTACGACCTGTTTCAACTCACTGCAAAACAAGGTACTTAAAATTAATTGTTCCCACATATCCTTACTACAATTACAGAAAAAGGTTTTGATTTTGGTTTGGTTTGTGTTTTACGTCCTTTTAACAGCTATATGTTCATTTAAGGACGTGCCAGATTTTGATGGTGGAGGAAAGCCTGAGTTCCCGGGGGAAAAACCACCGACCAACGGCCAGTACCTGGCAACTTCCCCACGTAGGTCTCGAACCCACGACCCAGTGGTGGAGGGCTAGTGGTAGCAGAATGTCCGACGCCTTAACCACTTGGCCACTGTACATGTGGTCCCAGGTTTTGATATAGCAACAGAAGACATTTGCAAGTATCACAGCATGGAACGGCTATTGCTATTGCAGATAGATCTTACGACTACAACAGGCTACTAGATATATTTTTCCAAATATGACAGTACAACTGTCATCTACAAATGTTTTCTATCCTGTGACAATGTGATGAGTCACCACCCAAACTGTTTACCTGGAGTATTTTTGGCCTTGTATATGAAATTGACATATGTCAGAATTACAAATGTCTACATGAATTTTGCCAAATGACATTATGATAAGTCACCACCAAGAATGCAAACTACATGTGTGATTGGCCCTCTGACATTGCAATATATTGCAAATCCTAAAGGCTACTTTGAATATGTTTGCTCATGTGACATTGTCACGTGTTGCCTACCCAGTGCCCTGAATGGCTACAACCAGATTTTTTATTTTCTCTGTTGTTCGTTGCTATGTGCCCGATCAAAAAAAACATTTTATGATCTTAACACAGACAGGCCACTGTTTTATCAGCGATCACTGTTAACGATTCATACAGAATTATTAAAATTTAATTAGACAGACGTAGCTGAATGTAGAGCAACAATCAACTTCTCCTGATCCAGCTCCAGACAAAGCACTAGACGATTTTATTACACATCTGATAAAATCTGAATCATTGAATGACATCATACACGCAATAAACTAAATACCTAATTAATTAGTATCAAACATTTACCCCATTTAATACCCAGTAGTATGAATTATATTTACATCTTTTGTCAATAGTGCTCGATCTATCCTTCAAATTTGTATTTTACCGATTTAAATTATCTCCAAAAACTGACATTACTTCTGTCATATAATTTTTTGAATTTGGTTCAATAATTCGATATTCGAACAAAACCATTCTTATATCGACATTTGCATGAAAAAACCCAGCACCTAGCAGACGACACAAAATCCATTTATTATCTAACCTCATTAATATCATCATGACAAATTAGAGACCGACGGAACATCTGCGGATTGATTATGTAATCGTTTTCAACAGGACCATTGACCACAGGCTAAGACATTAGGAAACCCCGATATTACTGGATCATGGTTACAAAAAAACAAGGAAAGGCAGCCGGGGACAAAATCAATACATTGCCATGGAAATTCAAGAGCACTCATTAATCATTGCCATAACACATAAAAAACAAATATTTAATTTTTTCTTCATCACATTTTTAATTTTTGTACAAGCTGTCATGCTGTGTATCATTGATTTTGTACAAATGTTGCGTATTTTACCTGAATATTTAACTGCCGTTCTGTTAAACACAACAAATCATGTCCCCCCCCCCCCCCCCCAAATCTCCAATGTTAATAATGACGAGCACACAAGCATTGTTAATCACTAGAGTGTCACAAGCTTGCTGCAGTCTAGACCCCTGCCCCGGGGAGCTGGCCATCTTGAGGACACAGCTTGACACAGACCTGAAAGTGTGCGTAACGGTACTTACCAGTAAGCTATGGAAGGATGCTCCTTCAAGGCACTGGTAGGTATCACAGGCAGTTTTCTAAGGTCATCGCGCGTGGTGGCATCACTGCAAGTCAAAACAAGACAACTGTTACAGTGGCTAACATCCTACAGCTCCCTACAATCTGTCTGCTGTCTCCAACAATCTGCTGTCTCCTGCAGCATCACACACTGGAGTCTATAGGCTGTTTCAAAATACTCCAATGGTATGATTATCTGATTATCAGAGATCTGGTATGTCCCAGTACAATGGGGATCCCTTCCTTGTAAGAGAAGTGTTTTATATATAACACCACGATATAAGTGTCTGATGGCCTTACCCACCTCACTGGTCACTCTCACAGGTCATCTGATGTCCCATCTCACACATACAAGTCAATCTCACACGTTCCAGTCGATACATGTTTACTGTGTATCAATTTTAACATGAAATGCAATGCGCTGTACCAGGATGGGGTCCCCAGTGTCACTAACACAGACAGATTCATATATCATAGATCTATAGTCACCCATACCTCCCTCCCTACCACTTCATCATACAGCAGATACTCAAAATCACGCTACAACACTTCATCATGGAGTAGATATTCCCGAGAAACTATTAAACCCTAGATATCATTACATCTTAGCTACACACTTCAAATCCCTCCTTACTGTTCCATCTTAGAGCCCATTCCCATCTTATGGTCATATACAATCTCTAAAACCTTTGATACCATTCTATCTTTGGGATATAGAAGTATATAAAACTCCATAACTCTCAAAAAGTCAGACATTTCTGGTGGCTATTTTCTAAGTCAAAATGCAGATTATTTGTGTAATACTTTGTCAAATTATTGTAGATTTAAGTATCTGCCTTATAGCATACAATTTATTTTCCACTTGAGAATTTGCTTAGACTCCACGGTTAAGAAGTTAAACATCTGATCTGGTTTTTCAAAGTTAAGTCAAATTATCAGGCTACAACTAATCTCTTCCTTGATGTTTTTTTTAATCGTTAAAACTCTAAATGCAATCATTAAGTTTACAAATTCAATAAAATTCTTTTAGGAAAACGTAGTTTCTTATACTGACATAAGATTTCAAAATATCACCAGTTTTTTCACTAGATCTTCTGCAAAGCTAGCAGGGCTTACATCACAAACTCTTTTATCAGTTCTGTCTATGACTATAAAGCTAACAAGACTTACATCACAAACTCCTTTTTATCAGTTCTGTCTATGACTATAAAGCTAACAAGACTTACATCACAAACTCCTTTTTATCAGTTCTGTCTATGACTATAAAGCTAACAAGACTTACATCACAAACTCCTTTTTATCAGTTCTGTCTATGACTATAAAGCTAACAAGACTTACATCACAAACTCCTTTTTATCAGTTCTGTCTATGACTATAAAGCTAACAAGACTTACATCACAAACTCCTTTTTATCAGTTCTGTCTATGACTATAAAGCTAACAAGACTTACATCACAAACTCCTTTTTATCAGTTCTGTCTATGACTATAAAGCTAACAAGACTTACATCACAAACTCCTTTTTATCAGTTCTGTCTATGACTATAAAGCTAACAAGACTTACATCACAAACCCCTTTTTATCAGTTCTGTCTATGACTATAAAGCTAACAAGACTTACATTACAAACTCCTTTTTATCAGTTCGGTCTATGACTATAAAGCTAACAAGACTTTACACAAGTAGTTGAACTAGTCACTCACCATAAGATGATACTTACTTGTTTTTACAGGAGTGACATATAACAACAGATACAAGGTTCTTGTATATCCCCAGACCAATATTGTAAAGCTCGCGTTACTAGTAAAACATTACCACTGTTTGGGAGTTGTAAAGCTCACGTTACTAGTAAAACATAACCACTGTTTGGGATTGTAAAGCTTGTGTTACTGGTAAAATATTACCACTGTTTGGGAGTTGTAAAGCTTGTGTTACTAGTAAAACGTTACCACTGTTTGGGAGTTGTAAAGCTCGCGTTACTAGTAAAACATTACCACTGTTTGGGAGTTGTAGAGCTCGCGTTACTAGTAAAACATTACCACTGTTTGGGAGTTGTAAAGCTGGCGTTACTAGTAAAACATTACCACTGTTCGGGAGTTATAAAGCTCGCGTTACTAGTAAAACGTTACGACTGTTTGGGAGTTGTAAAGCTCGCGTTACTAGTAAAACGTTACCACTGTTTGGGAGTTGTAAAGCTGGCGTTACTAGTAAAACATTACCACTGTTTGGGAGTTGTAAAGCTTGCGTTACTAGTGCTCGCGTTACTAGTAAAACATTACCACTGTTTGGGAGTTGTAAAGCTCGCGTTATTAGTAAAACATTACCACTGTTTGGGAGTTCTGACCCCTCACACAACAGTGACTTGATATGTGGTAATCAGTTCACACCCTGATACATTCTTAGCATGGTTTAAACATGAGGCTGGACAGACAAGTAATACACACATATACATTAATGGTGTCCTTAAACATCACAGGGATACATATACAGTGATATATACATCACAGGCAGAAATAATAGGCGGGGGATAGTATTACACATACAAAATATCTTTGTTGATGAATCTGTATATAGCGAAACATTGTCTGAACCTAAACTCTGTAAAATCTAGAAACCGGTATAAACCAGACAATTCAACTAACAAGATTGTATTGGTTGAAGATCTTTATGAAAATTTAACCTGTTATGGATTTATGCAGGAATAGAAAGTAAGTACACAATCATTTTTGAAATGGGGAAATATGCGCTGTAGGCGCATAACCCACCAGCAGGATGGGTAACCGCAGCAGGGGGAGAGTACGAGAGGGGGGGCTGGATGACATCTTTGATTTTTCTTACAGGCTGTTGTATAATCAAAAACTTGTCTATTCTGAACATCCTACTGGTGTTTCGTTTACACAGGTTTACCCGGAGATATATGTATTCCTCCCAATGTAAACTAGACTAATTGAAGTGATAATCACTGGAAAAAAAAGTCATGAAGTTTATATAACGGACAGTCAAAAAAGGTGGAAGCTGAACATAAGATATGGTATACAGATTTCAATGTAGGACCCTAAAACATAGTCAGTGTCAATAATTGTCAAGTGTGCAAATGTCAATTTCAGACTCCAAGGCACTTAAAAGACTTAAATATAAGACCTTAATAAATTAAGACTTCAATATATGACCTCAATACATGGTAAACAGACTTCAATTTAGGACCCAAGACAATGTAGTGACAGATGTCTGGTACACAGTGCCCCACATCACACATTCCTCAGCCTCACATACTCATACATAAACCATCACCTTGTCTGACATTTGGTTCAGTAGAATCAAGTATGCAGAAGAAGTTTTATCTGCTGTGACAAGTAAACAGACATATCAATAATTGATCAGGAATCTTTGTTTTATTCTGCGTCAGAGACAATGTTAAACAATGGGACAGTGGTACTATCATCTGTCCTCAATATCACAAATTTTCCACATTTGTCATTTATTATTGGTACTACTATAAATTCCTGTGAGCTAATCTTACAATTTCACACAAGAGCACAAGTAAAAATGTCCATATTCACAGTATTTCAGAATCCTCAAGATAAACTTTCATCAAATAAGTTTTTCATACAAATGTAACTTTCCCATCTAATGATGATAAAACAAAATTATACTTACTCTACATAGTCTCCATAATTAGCCTGTAATACATAGGCTGCTAACTCAAACACGGTCTCACTGTCACACTGAATCTGGTCCTGGAAACAAGAAAAATATATATTATTAGGACACATAGACATACATCACTATCTCAGTCAAATAACACACAGCAGGCTATCCACAATGACATTAGACAGACATGAGGACATACAGACAGATACAAGGACAAACAAAGGACAAACAGACAAACACAAGGACATTCAGACACAATAATAACATACAAACAGACACTGGGACAAACAAAAGACATTCAGACAGCTACAACAACATACAAAGGACAAACAAACACAAGGACACTCAGAAACAATATTGACAATAATATACAAAGGACATACAGACAGAAACATGGACATTCAGAAACAATATTGACAATAATATACAAAGGACATGCAGACAGAAACACGGACATTCAGAAAGACACAAGGACACTAAGACAGACACAAGGACACTAAGACAGATACAAGGACACTAAGACAGATACAAGGACACTAAGACAGACACAAGGACACTAAGAAAGACACCAGAACACTAAGAAAGACACAATGACACTAAGACAGACACAATGACACTAAGACAGACACAATGACACTAAGACAGATACAAGGACACTAAGACAGACACAATGACACTAAGAAAGACACAAGGACACTAAAACAGATACAAGGACACTAAGACAGACACAATGACACTAAGACAGATACAAGGACACTAAGAAAGACACAAGGACACTAAGACAGATACAAGGACACTAAGACAGACACCAGAACACTAATAAAGATACCAGGACACTCAGACAGACACCAGGACACTAAGAAAGACACAAGGACACTAAGACAGACACCAGAACACTAAGAAAGATACCAGGACACTCAGACAGACACCAGGACACTAAGAAAGACACAAGGACACTAAGACAGACACAAGGACACTAAGAAAGACACAAGGACACTAAGACAGATACAAGGACACTAAGAAGGACACCAGGACACTCAGACAGACACAATACCAACCCTCTCCTCTACAACAGATACAACACAGTGGTAATGGCTATGTGGTGATTGTTGTTTGGAGAAGAAACACATTGCACATTACCCTCTCCACTGGTATGGCCTGCTACATTCCATGTACTGACAGTTATCATCACCCCTCAACTCTAAGGACACTGATGATGTCTAATGCTGGCCCTGCCAGTGCCCTAACTTCCACAAGGACTTGACACAGTGTCTGGACCATCATCATACAAGGCACTGCACACATTTTTATGAACTTTGATCCCTCACCACTTTCTATGCGTTACAGATTTATCACGTATACCAACCTGTATGTCTAGTAAGATGAGTATCTCCTTGATGTATATATTTAGTGGAACTAACATCTGACTTGTGTTCTCCCCTGTAAACAATAGTACCGAAGCATGATCTCTCCCACCATAACCCCACTTCTATCCTTCCTATAAACAAACCCTAATATTCCATGATCTTTCTTCCTAAATACTGAACTATATTTTTTCATAATAAATAACCCTTAATACTCAATATCCTTCCCTCCAAAAAAAAATGGTTCTATCCTTCATTAAAAACAACCTCTAATCCCAAACCCCTTTTCTCCAAAACAATGGCTTGTCTCATTAACAACCCCTAGTACCCAAAGTCCTTCTCTCAAAAGTACTGACCTCTATCTTTTCTCATAAACCAAGGCTTATTCCAAAAGTAACTCTCTCCAAAACATTGGCCTCTATGCGCCCATTATATAATGTCAACCCCACAAGAGCATTTACCTTTGACCTGTCATCCTACCCACCAAGTGGAAATGACAGGGGGTGATAACTCTGGGTACTTGACAAAACCCAGTCTCAATTGAACCCCTCAAGTGATCTCTGTCCCTCCAAACTGATGTGTCTATGACCTGATTCCCAGGGGAGCTGTTCTGGCCTAAGTGATGTATAACCATCAACACAATGAGCATCTCTAGTCCACTTATTTCACCACTGGTATTACACCCCATTAACTTTGGCATTAGGTCACAAATGACCCCTATGCACAAAATTTATTAGAAAAACACAACAGGCAGAGTAACTTCCCCTTCCGATTTCACGATTAGAATGACAATAAATTAAATCTTATTTCTTGATTTATGATTTCACAGTTAGAAGAAGAGTAGATTAAACTGTATTTCTTTATATTTTAATTCCAAGACAAAAGAGAGAAAATTGTATCCAGAATGTATAGCTATTCCGTGTGTATTATATGCAAGATGCTTGTATAGTAATTACTGTAGTTCATTATCTACACTAGAACTATCATTAGGAAATACATACATGACATTCATACCACACTAACAACATTCAATCACTGCCACTATGGTGTAATATACTAGTTTATATTTTACGGAGCTAAGATTGTAAGCTCCTTTTTTATGATATTTTTGGGTGGACAAGTAATAGGTAATATTACCCTTTGTCAAAAAAATATGTTATCGATAACATGGAGTGATTATATATGTCAGTTTTTGTTAGAGGACACCAGTTTTGCCATTTACCTCATAATTACACAGCCTTATCCGTCACACAGAAGTGACACCACCTTCATTACCTTGGTCGATTATTGTGATTTTTGCGATATGATGAGATTAGGGCTATCCATTATGGTGACAAGGGCAATCAGTTTGAAAACAACATAATATGTACTCATCCGGAATAATCTATATCCTTGTATATAGGGTGTTAAATGCTGGGTAAACATAGATTTCCTCTTGACCAAAGTCTATTATTCTATCTACTCACAATTTGATGGAAAAGTACTGCAATCTATCACAACTACATGTATAATGGAAAAAAATATTTTTCAAAGGAATTTTTATCCATTATTTTAAAATGATAAACTTCTTTTAAGATTATTCAATATTGTGCCTTAATCAAAGTTTACCCTAATAAAAAAAGATTGTTTTTATACCCAATTAGACAGATCATAATTCCAAATTAACATCATCTTAATGTCAAATTCAAAAGGCCTTAGAGATACCTGGACCGGCATCTGAGCACCAGATAACCAATTAACTTATACAACACAGACCTTTGGTATTTTCTGGTTAATTAAGGATTCCCAGACTGAATTAGCTTTGTGAAGCAGCCTGGATGTACTACCCATAATCAAACCACAATAAATCTTATAGGAGGTTTTTTCAGTGATTTAGAGTCTGCTGAACCTTTGGTATTTTCAACGTCTAATTTCAGTCGGCACCTTGAAATTCTAGTGTTGCAACCGAAGCCGATATCTGCAGCTGTCCGACACTAACACTATATTATGTGTGTATCTTGATTAACGGATTGGCAGGGAGAGACAGCAACACTGTTTCGACTTACCGTAAATATAGCTTGTTTCGCATTGAGGTAAAATAATTCTACTGTAGCTGCATCCCGAAGATTGGCAATGGTTTCAACATAATTCCTGCAAAATCAAGGTGATGGCATAATATTGTAGGATCAAGAAAACAAAATACAGGATCAGACTATGTTAATTAACACAAAGCCTTTTGATCTGTTGAAGATGAGATTAATGGCGGCTACTTAAACCAAGCTTTTTGTAATGCTATAATCAGTTCTATAGGTTATTGTATTAATCTGCTCTTCAAGTGTTATTTTTTTATAATCAATTTTAGACTTATTTTTTACAGTAAGTGCTACTTTGAGAACAAGAGGGTGAGTCAGTTGTGTAATGAATCAATGTCCACACTATGAATCACAAATACGGCAGATTGTCTTCAACATCCCCTAGCTAGGTACAGACAGGTACATCACAACCTAGAGGTAATCCTCCAGGGTCTCTCAACACGACTTACATCCCATAGTTTTATTCCAGGGTCATTACACAAATGTTTCTTATACTCACATCATAAACATCTTTCTTAACAGATAAAAAAACCTTAAGCAATTTCCTCACATTCTTTTGATGAAATGCACACCAATTACATCAGCGTTTCTCAAAGAAAGATTTCAAGTGGATATGAATTAAAGGTTATTACCATATTCGAGATAAATACTTACCGAACTGCAAAAAATAGAACTAATATGTTGATTTTTCTTGGGAAGTCGTGCTCCAGTACTCGCTTATCAGGGTTGAGCCAGTTATGGTTCCCTCGGGATCTGAAATACATAAACATACCAATATATTTATATCATGTGTGAAAATCTTCATCACAGGCATTCTGTAATGTTTCAAAGACACCAACACCCTGAGAAAATATCTCTAGAAATTTGTGTGAGTTGTACAATGAATTTAAATTCCCATTTAAAGTATTTTGTACGACTTGTTATTGTCAGTAATGAGTTTACTAAGCCCCTGGGCACTATCTAGTGCCGATATATGTACACAATACATACACACCTATCAAACACAGCAAAAGACAGGCACCAATACCTCTTGAGAAAGTAAGTCTGTTTCCTCAGCCAGAATAAAATCATGTACATGCATAACACAGATGGACGTTATAACTAAATCTCAAATTCAGTTCTACAACTTTTAAAACCATTAAATTCCAAAAGATAACCCAAAGGAGCTGAAAAATATCTGGTAACCTGATTGACTGCCTTTGGTTACTAGATTACCCAGATAACAAACATTTGTATTGTCTGCCAGGCTATAAAACATTAACACATGTATGACCTGGGGCGTTTATGACAAGGATTAAAATGTCATACAAACATGAAACATGACAACAATGTAACATGAATGCTGTTATTTATGGACAGGTACACTTAAGGTGTCGTTTTTTGAAATCAGATAAGCTTGTAGCTACAATGTCTCCATATCTCCTCCAATCAGATATACTGTAGGGTCTACATCTAATAAACATGCCACCTAACTGTACTTTCCTAGTCTTACTAAAGTCCCCTTAAGACAGATTTCTATCATTTGTAAGTAGAAATGTAATGAAAAAATAAAGAAAATAATTATCAAAGGACTAAAATGAGATTGGTGCAAATTAATCATACACTTCCTTATATTTACTGTTACATGTATATTCTTTGAAAAATATATATTAAAACATCAGTAGTTTCTGGTACTGTTAACATTTGTTATTGAATTTATAAACTGCCATAGATGTACTTCATTGGGTTATTGTGATTAATTCATTTTTAAATAAATAGTTATACTCTCTTAAATATTGTTTATTAAAAGTTATAAGGAAAATTAAGTCTAACAAAAATTACAGGTTCAAATGTGTAAGGGAGATAACCCTAACACAAGTCAAAGATATAAATGTGAAGTGATATGTATCCTTAAATATGCTAATACATAATTGTAGTACTATGTAAGAGGACTCTTTTAAGGTTTATTTTTTTAAACATTTCCTAAAATGAAAATTTCCCATGACAAATATACAAATATTTGCAGTTCCCAAATGAACATGGGAACTAGGAATGTTAAAAAGTTTGGTGTTAAATGGTATCAGCCTGTCATTGCATCAAATTTAACCAATGTAACCATACTTTAATCACTATACTCCATTAAAAAAAAATTGATAAGCATTTCATTTCTACAGCATATTAAAAGACTAAAGATACCCTTTCCTGGCTCTAGTTCAGTAGATGGAGTAAAGGCTGTGAACAGATTTGCTATCCTTTGGTACTTGGGAAAATGATTACAAGAATGCAGCAGTATTATGTGTATAGAACATATGTATCTTATAACGAGATGCAGTAAATGACTTAACCATGATTCACAAACAAATATCTGATGAACAACTAGATCCAACACTGCCGACACTATCTTTAATACATTAGGCATCAGAAAAAATCTGTATCAAATATTTTCAGAAACTCTATTCCTGCAAATGTGGCAAACAGAGAGACATTCATATCCAAATTTTTATTGCTTGATTTTCAGTGAGAATTGGTTTAAATGCCTCCACCCAGTACGTATCAGCAGTGTTTCACACAGTTCTACAGTAGCCTGTGTTCCCGTCCAGACTCCCAGCTGTCAGGTACATGTAGGTACCCAGTCATGCTCTAGTATCACTATCATGTCAAACGGATAAATTCCAGAATTTTATCAAAATCTCCATTCCATTTTTGAGTATCATAGCTCTCACATAGCAACCCTATCCTCTCCTCACTGCTGCGACCCCCATCACCATGACAACTGGCCAGTGTTTGGGTTCAGAGCCTGGAACAGGAAGTATCTATCTTATCGGGGTTACCCAGACCCCCACACTAAATGACACGGCCCAACAAGTACACAGTGATCTACTCTGCCTTATCTGCTCACCGTGCCTAATACAGAATAGCCATAATCATATCTGACAGACTAGCACATAGAAAGAGTTAAACATACATAATTCCACAGCTCTCTCTAAATAAAGCTAATGTCAGACAATGGGAAAGATAGCAGTAATCACGAGTGTTAAATCACCATTAACATCCTCGGGACCCATCATTGCCTCCGAATCTGATCCTCACCAAATGACCTTGGCCGATCTCTGTCCTCTAAATCTTCCCTAATCATTGTCAATTATGTGTACACAAAGGCTTCAGTAAGCAGACTGACTGTGGGGAGTTGTTATCACCCTCCTGGCCTACTGACCAGATACAACACACAGTCATGGTATCTAGGGTTACTCCCATCCTCACAGCCACAGCATCGGGTCTATAGACTTACAGTACTGATTTAAACATACAAATAATAATTATACTGATCAAAATTTCAATGTTTCAAGGAATTCGAAAAAGATTCACGTTTGAAACAGAATTCATGGGGAAAAAACAGATTCAGGAAAATAAAAGAAACATGTTCTGCAGAATCGCACTGCATGATAAATCAAAGGTTATCCATCATTTTAGGGTCACAGACCATTACGATATAGGAGATCTTTTATATTTTATCTATCTACATTATCCTTTTTAGTTGGTGTCTCCCTAAGCTTTTCTTGTTAGCCTGTTGTCGGAATACTACACTTAACGTTTAGCCAGTATACGTACCAGTACAAGCCCCTGTCTGTATGATATTCTATGTACAGTGATAGTACATGCATATATACATAAAGATTTAATGTACAACACATACAAAAGGTCATCTGTCCATGATTTGTCCATCATTACTATAAATACCACATGACCATCGTGGTAGACAGAGACTGACCAGAGCCAGGACACCTACATTGATGACACATAAATGACCCCATAAAGCACTGACCACATGGCACACCTGTGGTATGTCACACCTAACGGGACAGAAACACATGTATTGTATTGTCCCATGCCATCACACATTCACAGATTATACCAGTCAACATCTGAACATAACGTAAAACACAGTCACATCTTGTACCTCCCAAAACCTTCCTGTTCTGGCATTCCGTGTATCTTTTCTACATTCTGGTGTAACAAGTATAGCCTTATCTTTATTGAATTAGGAAGATATTCCTCTTTTTTCTTCATTTTCTTTTTTGGGAAATAAACCTGTTATGCTAGGGTAAGCAGCCTTTTCATGTATTTGAATGTAAAACTGGGCAAACAAAATCACTGATTCCATTCACATTGAAAACCACCCTGTATAAACCAACGCAAGTGTGAGAAAAATAAATTCAGTTAATGATCAAGGATTACATCTTACTGAAAACTCTCAGACCTTAAAATCATGGACATGAAATGAAACTCTCTCTGATTTCATTACCTTGACAGATTTACAGATAACTAAATGCTGGAATGAAAAGCTTTTATGAAGACCTGAAACTTAGTAACTGACGTTTGATAACCCCTACCTTCTTTGTGGGTGGTTAGCGACTCAGAGGGGACATGGGGTCATCAGGTGCAAACTACGTGTACACCATACATCCACAGGAAGAGGTAGAAAAAACACATGTAGACATCCTGCTTTAAACTTCTGGTTATATTTCAATAGGAAGTTAGCAACATGGCAGTCTAAATTTTTAAGAAAATCTTGCTATCAAGAGTAAATTATTCAAGTAACTGGTTCACTGGCTGCAAGTTACACATGTAGGTGATGTTAATCGTTGGGGTAGAACGAGGGTGGGGGACAAGTTGGATTTGGTTCAGTTACAATGAACTAGCTTTGGATCCTCTTTGGGACAGACTGGAAAGATGAAGGGTGACTGGTTCAGAAGCTGTGCCCTAGCTGTAGATTTACGTTGTGTGAAGCGTGTGTACGGGGTGTTCAGCAGGACTTTTTAGACCGTTATTACTCTGAAGGGTCAGTTTAATTTACATCCCTGATTCCTTTTCGACATATTTCTATTTCAGCCATTATATAGCCCCGTTCTAAGCACTCGATCATTTCTGATATATGAGTATTCTTTTTTTCAGCGCAGATTTTTTCTCACAGATACTTCAATCAATGTCCATTGAATCAGCGGAGTCCAATGAATCTATTTCCCACTCTCTCTCTCCCCCCCCCCCCATACACCAAGTGCTAACGTATTAATGTAGAGAACCACCATTGGAATGCAGGCCACACGGCCGTATGTCATAATCACATCTTTTAAAAATTTGGTCCTGTTTCCTGTATTTTTTCCTGCGTGCATGTCTATAATTGGTATCCAATTTTACACGATTCAATTATGTGAATTTTGGGATCTAAGGGACCCATGCTTCTGGGGGTAATAAGGCTCTTACTGGGGCTGTAGCACAAGACCCTTGTTCACAGAAAAATTTGATTAGGGAGTGCATCACCACATGTATAGGAATTCCAGTGGTAATAAAAATGACAAGGAATTGATGAAGACTTCAACATAAATTAAATGTTACGCAAAATGTGGTACAGTTTTATTATGACACAACCCATGTCCTGATACTGGTACCAGTAAAAGACGAAACACACCATCAGGCTTGGAGGTGTTGTGTGCCCCTATTAACCAAACAGTCTCAAAATCAATACCGCCTCGTCCATTCTGATGTAAATAATCACAGAACACTGTTCCTTAAATCCCCATAGGAGGCCAACACGGTTTCAGTTTTTAGTGCTGGAAGGGAACTAGCTCCTTAGCACCAGTATACAACAAGACTTATATTCAGAGTTATTTATGGTCTTGCGCAAGTATAGGTCTACGTATTACAGAGTGGTATGATTTGGTGTCTCTTACCTAAACCGTAAATATTCATTTATCATGGCTCCCGCTTGCAGCAAC